CTCCCTCAGGGGCAGAGGTAGTGTTCCTGCACTCAGCAGTTTTAGAGGGCACCTTGCCCGACTCAAGGGCCTGAGGGAGAGCCCCGTGCATTCATTCACAAGCCAGCCACTCTCTCAAGATCAAGTAAACACCATAAACCAAGTCCTTAATCAGGCCTGTAAAAACCACTGGGGAGGTTAGGAAGCCAAGGAAATGTGTTAAGGAGGAGCGAGGAAGGGACGTATTGAAGTCAGAATGAGGGTTCAGCCAAAGGAGATAATGCATGTCAAGACATATAGCATGTAATTAATGCCAGCCACAGTCCTACGAAATGTATCCCTGCAGCTATTTTTATAACACCTTTCTCCCCGATGCTTCTGGAAAAATGGAATATTTCTAACTTTCCCTGGCCACACTCTCTGTGGAAAGAGGGAATATCACATCCCCACATGTCCACGAGGCTCAGAATGGGTTAATTTGTCGAAGGTCGTTTGGAATCCTAGGCCTTTCTATTGAAATATCACCCCCACCCACTTCTTGCCCCTGTGGAATGTGTTAAGGGACAAAATACACACCCCCTCTCAGAAGACTCTAGTAAATCATGTCGTTCAGTAAGTTTCAGTGGAATAGAATAGATTCTAATCATCAAAGTCGCTTACCTTACAGAAATACGAACTTAACACCCACACACCTACTGCACAAGTAGATCCGGGCAAGTCACGGGGTAGTTTTTTTCCCCGAAAGACTTCAGTAGAATATGGCTGTTTGTTTCAAGTCTCCTGAAATTCATGTTTGCAGCTGGAATCTTTCCTCTGAAACGCAGACTTGACGGTCCGGGTGCCTATGTGATAGCCCGCTTGGATGTCCTGGAGCCTCTGAGAGGCCTCCCTTTCTCATACAATTCCAGTAGAACCCTCCCACCCGCAAGGATCCTAATGGAGCCTCTCTGCTTTATTTACCCCCTTCCATATTATTTTTATTTCATTAAATAAATAATGTATTCCCTTAATAAATAAATTGATTCCTTTGGCCATAACTCACACTCCATAAGGGAAGGTTTTCGAAGCTCTGTTTTGTTAACTGCCATGTTCTCTCAACGGCTAGACTATGCGTGACACACAGTTGGTCTTCAATCACGAACGATGCATAAATGAATTACTGAATGAATGCAAGTTAAAATGTCAAGAGCCTTAGACTGCTTTTTGAAAAAGTTAGAAGATACCAAATCATTTTATTTCTACCTCATGGAATTTGACTTCATACTAAATTCTACTTGATAGAATAACTTCAGGAATCACATGGTGACCCTTAACGATGTGAGGTAGATTTGACTAGGGTTTTCTTGGACCACAATTGTTTATTTGCTTGCTTGGGTTTTTGTTTGTTTGTTTGTTTTGTTTTTATTTTTATTTTTTTTTGTTTTTTTTATTTAAAAAAAAATTTTTTTTCAACGTTTATTTATTTTTGGGACAGAGAGAGACAGAGCATGAACGGGGGAGGGGCAGAGGGAGAGGGAGACACAGAATCGGAAACAGGCTCCAGGCTCCGAGCCATCAGCCCAGAGCCTGACGCGGGGCTCGAACTCACGGACCGCGAGATCGTGACCTGCCTGAAGTCGGACGCTTAACCGACTGCGCCACCCAGGCGCCCCTTGTTTTGTTTTTAAAATTTTAAATTTAAATGTCCTTACGGTCCCTGCCACTCCCTATTTTCGTACCCTGGTCATTTACACAGTTTACGCTTTTCTTGTTCCTGCCAGCCTCTGGAGGCGTCCAGCTTGCCAGCTTATATCCTTGTAGAAATTGGTTCATTGATTTGCTGAAACCGTTAGGTATAGTTTTGATGCATAATACTTTACAGTGTGACTTTGGGCAAATTACTAATACCTTTGGGTCTCTTCCAACCTTGAAATTCTATAAAGACATCTCTTAGTTGTGTGACAGCATATGCTCGAGGTCACCTCGACTATTTGGGGGAATTCTTAGCTGGATATCAAACAAAATGACAATTCCTCATGTGATTCTTAATCCCAAAGATTCCTAACATGCCACAGATCGTTTATGTTTATAGATCAATGCATACTTTGACCTGAGATATAATGTCTCTAAATTCTTGTCCTCGGATAAAAACTAGTTTGTTTTTTTCTATAACATAATGAAAGCTTAGATTCAGTCACATGGACATTCTTCCATTATAAATTGAATAATTGTAAGACAGTATTGCATAGATTTACTCTAAATAAAGTGGTCCATAATTATAAGATTTATGTTTCAATATATGAAGATTCTTAATCACTCAGGCCATACAAATTCATTTGAAGATAAATCTCTTTGAAATTCAGTTCCTAGTGGGGCGACTGGGTGGCTCAGTCGGTTAAGGGTCTGAGTTCAGCTCAGGTCACGATCTCGCAGTTCATGAGTTCAAACCCCACATAGAGCTCTGTGCTGACAGCTCAGAGCCTGAAGCCTGCTTCAGATTCTGTGTCTCCCTCTGTCTCTGCCCCTCCTCCACTCACGTTCTCTCTCTCTCTCTCTTTCTCTCTCTCTCTCTCAAGAATAAATAAACATTAAAAAAATATTCAAAAAAATTCAATTCCTAGCAACCCCAAAGTTCAATCTACTTGGCAAAAGAGACATTGAAAGTAAGCCAGAATAAAAGATTGAATTTAAAATACAAGGTTGGCAACTAATCAAGAATGGTCACCAAACTTCAAGCTCAAAATCCTCTGAATAAGAATAATAAAAAAACATTTTCCATCTCTAATGAAATTTAGTGCTTTTTAGATTGATCAAGAACACATTTGGTAGTACCATCAGGAAGGGAGATTCTATTGTAGTCTCAAACTTTTTGAGTTTCATTTAAACTTTCATTAATGAGCGGTGCCTGGGTGGCGCAGTCAGTTAAGCGGCCGACTTCAGCCAGGTCACTATCTCGCGGTCCGTGAGTTCGAGCCCCGCGTCAGGCTCTGGGCTGATGGCTCAGAGCCTGGAGCCTGTTTCCGATTCTGTGTCTCCCTCTCTCTCTGCCCCTCCCCCGTTCATGCTCTGTCTCTCTCTGTCCTAAAAATAAATAAACGTTGAAAAAATAAAAAAAATTAAAAAAAAAAAATAAATAAACTTTCATTAATGAATCAAATAAACACTTTGAATGTGCCTGCTAAATACCCTGGTGTGAGAGAAATACTGAAGGAAACCTCCCAAATAGTAACATTCGGATGGGAAACTCAAAAAGATATTTTAAATGGTTATTGAAAGGAGTGCATATAAATAAAGCAAATAAAGCAACTGAAAGGCACATATGTAACCAAAGAAATATGATTTTAAGTGCTTGAGATTCTTATAAACTTAAAAGAAATTATGCTTTAAAAACTTACATTGTAAAAAGGAAAACTAAAATACCCATAATCCTAACAATGAATATAGCAGTTTTTATCTTGCCTAGTACTTTCTTGCTTTACCTGTGGATAGTACATGTATTTTTACATTTGGAATTCTACTGCTTGAGCAATTCTGTATTGGGATTTTTTTTCATATAATTACGTTCTAAACATTTTCCGTATTGCCAGACAGTCTTCATAATATTTATTTTTAGTGATAGCATAATATTCCATCAAATTGCTTAAATAGTCCTTGGTTATTACAATTTCAGTTTCTTCTCAGTGTATCCTTAAAATATTTAATTGTAACATTACTCTAATTCAGTGTTGCCATTTCATATCTTTGTTCTGTTGGTATAGGGTTGATTTTATTAATTGTTTAAATCCTCAGGGGTTTCAAAGAGCATGGAAAAGACATATTAAATCAAGATAAATTTCAAGCAGTTAGTGACCACAAGTCGTATAACCCTGTAATGCTTGTTTAAATTCCATTTTTGTAAAGGAATAGATTGTGGATTTGAGGTAGTGGGTCCCACCTTTGCTCAATATCAGCATTGTGTCTTGGGAAAATTTGCTTCAGCTATCTGTGCCTTTGTTTTCTCATCTGTAAAATGGGATTAGTAATAGTACCTATCATGTAAAATTGTTCTGAGGATGAAATATCTGAGGACAAAATGTCAAACATTTACAACAATGCCTTTTATATTTAAAGTGCTATATAAATAGTATGCGTTTTAATATTAGAGTCACTTTGGGGCACCTGGGTGGCTCAGTCGGTTAAGTTTCCGACTTCAGCTCAGGTCATGATCCCACGGTTGGTGAGTTCGATCTCCGCGTCGGGCTCTGTGCTGACAGCTCAGAGCCTGGAACCTGCTTCGGATTCTGTGTTTTCCTCTCTCTCTGCCCCTCCCCTGCTCACGCTCTTTCCCTCTCTCTCTCAAGAATAAATAAACATTATAAAAATGTTTTTAATTTAAAAATATTAGAATAGCTTTATATATTCTCTGTGCTTTATAGGAATTCTACATGCAAGCAACAAGTGGTGAGTTTTAGAATTTTGAAAACACTATGAGGTGATTTCGTAACCAGAAGTAACTTCTTTTATAATCAAGGTTTTGCAACAGTGACATATATGTTAATTCATTTAGCAGCAATTGAGCCGTAAGTTCACAATCTTAGGTGAGTATTTCCTCTAGTAAGAATAACTAGCAAAACAAAAATGAAAACAATAAAACAAAACAAAAATGGAAACAAAAAAGAATAACTAGCAATTCACCTTACATATTTGTGAATCAGTCTGTCAGCATAATCATATTAGTAAGAGTAAATGTAAAATAGTCACCATCTACTGAACACTACATTGTAAAATCTTCCTGATGGCCTGGGAGGAAGTGCCATTACCCCAATCATCCCCAGATGGGGAGACAGACTCAGTGAGATGAAGTGAGCAGCCAAAAAACACACACACCTAAAGAGTGATCGGTTAGAACTGACCCATTTGGATGATATTAACACTTGAAAGAGAAATCGTGAGACTGAATTCTCCTTTCATGAGTATCCATCCACCAAATTTCCCACTGGGGTCCCATTAAACATCACAGGGGGTAAAATGCAATTCTTTTCTTTTGCATGTTGCAGGTACGCAGGTGGATCAAGAGCCCAATGGTCAGTGTGGACAAGCATCAGAGTCCCAGCCTGAAGTACACGGGCCCCCCGGTCATGCACATCCCACCGGGGGAGCCAGATTTTGAGTCTTCCTTGTGTCCGACGTGCCTGGGGGACCACGCTTTCCAAAGAGGTGTTCTCCCTCAGGAGAAGGAGTCGTGTTCATGGGAAACTCAATCCGGGTGTGAAGTAAGTTCAGTTTTGTTCCGGATCCATTACCCTGAAAGGATTCTAGACCTTTATTTTTCTTATATTCATGCCACAGTATGCAAAAAAACCGAATTAAAAAAAAAAAAACCCAAAACATATTTAATACACATTTCTATAAAGCTTCTGAGGCAGATATAGAATGTGACCTTTGCTAGCCCATTGTACTAAATTGTTTTAATAGCCTTTATTTATTAGGGAAGTTTTAGCTTCACAACAAAACTGAGTGGAAAGCAGAGAGATTTCTCACGTACCCCCTGCCCCCCACACATGCACAGCCTTCCCCACTATCAACACCTTTCACCAGAGTGGCACATTTGTTACAAATGATGAACCTACCTTAACACATCCTCACCCAAAGGCGGTAGTTTACATTAAGGTTTGCTATTGGTGTTAAGTTTGGGCAACTTTATAACAACCTGTATCCATTATTAGAGTATCCTCTGTGCTCCTCGGGTTCATCCCTCCCTCCTGCCATGCCCTGGCAACCATTGATCTTTTCACTGTCTCCATAGTTTTGCCGTTTCCTGAATGGCATATAGTTGGAGTCCTACAGTAGGTTGTACTGATTTTAATACTGTTCCAAGATGGATACAGCCATGTTTTGGTCAACTAGAAATCCTTTATAAGCTGTTTGCTCACACGAAGATCAATTGTTATGTAATGCAAAAAAATATGTAACAGTCATCTACAGGTTTGCTGACTTTATCAAAATACTTATCTCAATATGATTTGACTCACAACAGAGCACTATATAACTCATATTTCCCATTTTCCTAGATGTGGTACTTATATTTTTTATATATACTCCTATTTTTACTAAGACTTATTTTTCCTTGCTTACTCCAAGACTTTTGTTTTTTGTCTTTTAATTTGGTTAATCCAAGAAAGCCAGATAACTGACTTAGCTTGAAGGTTCTAAGATTTCAAAAATTTAAGATTTCATTTTTCACTTATAACTCAGTGAGGCTTATATTTATTTTGACTTTTTAGACCATTAAATCAAATGCTTATGTCATTTTTATTATCACCTTATTGACATAAATGCACAAATTAGGGAGACAGAACATGTTGTGACAAAATACAATTAGTTGCAAATGATCTACCAATACATTATTTCAGAACAGTGCATTATAAGATGACAAATGTTAATAGTTCCTCCCTTCTTTTTTTATTTCTCTGGAGGAAAAGTTTTCCAAAGATAAAGGAATCATTTTAGCTGCTAAAATAAAACGCTTGATTCCAAGTTCAACTCTAGGATACGCAATGTCTCAGAATCTGTCTCTTGCCCACTTTCTAAGGTTACCGGAAGGATCAAATGAGATAACATATAAAATATTTCCTAGTCTGGAAAGTGCCATGCAAGCAGAAATCATCATTACTTATGGTTGCTGATTTACATATTAGCTAAGCCTGTGAATCTGTAACACTAAATTAGACTTCCGTGACTAGGTTAGTGCTTTGCTGATCTATGAACATTTGTCATGGTGCATTTGCTGTTTTGCTAGACGCTGGCTCAACTCCAGGTTGACCATACAAGGTGGCAAATAGATTCTAAACGCAAGTATTGGCAATTTTTTTTTTTTCCCTGCAAAGAGCCAGATAGTAAAAGCCTTAGGCTTTTAAGACCTTTCAGTTGCTGTCATTTCTGTTCAGCTCTGCCCTGTAGGGAAAGCAGCCATCGATAATATACAAATGAATGGGCCTGACTGTGTTCAAATAAAAGTTTTTATTTACAAAAACATGCGGCTGGTCCACCAGCCATAGTTTGCAGACTCTTAGGCTCTTAGAATCTAAAAGAATTTGCCAACTCCTTAGAGTCTAAAGACCTATTCATAACTTAGAGGTAGAAAGAGGGCTCCAGAAATCCTACACAGAGCACAAAGGCCTAGTACTAAATGTTTACTCGAGGGCCTGGTAGATGCCCCATTTGTTAGGAGCTGGGGCTAGATTAATGAATAAATAGAATTCCATATAAGAGGAAACAATAAACAAAGAGCTGGAAGGAATTTAAAGCCACACTGTGATTCATCCTTCTACTTTATCTGGAATAATAGGTGAATCATTCTCCAGTTTACAAAGGACAACCTGGCTCTGACTTTGCTGAGTTTTTTCTAAGGTCGCCACAAATCAAGAAGACACTTAATATGTTAACAATTTAACAGCGAATCTGTATTTTGGGTTCCTATAGGGATTAAGCCGTGAGACAGTTCCTTGAGGAGGCACCTCGGTCCTTTTAGGAAGTGGCCTTGTGGGATGATAAGAAGATGGAGAGGCTCTTAGATGCCCAGGCCTGGTAGTAAAGAGTCCACGTCGTTTTTCTGACAACTCCTAATGTGGATAATTTTAAGCAAGTCATTAATTCATCCTTCCTTTTCAGTCTCCCCTCCTATGAAAATTGAGATTATTCATGCTTGCCATCTGGTCTTTCCTGGAATTTTTTTAGTAATTTGAGGATGAGATGGGATCTTTAAAAATCTTTCGTGAATGTAAATTTACGTATAAACAGTGTGCTGGGCTCAGGCAACCCACATTCTGATGCCGGCTCTGCCACAAAGTCAATATGTGAACTTGAGCCAGTCACAAAAACTCTCAAACATAGGATGAGCCTAACCTCATTAAGCTCTTTTTAGTCTGAAATCCTACGGTTGGGGGTTTGATGCCCTGTAAATGAAAATAAACTCTGTACCTAAAAGGAAAACATAAAACATAGAAAATGAGGTGAGAATGTTTTAAATAAAATAAGAGAATGAATAGAGTACCAGTCCTTTATAAATAATGTGAGCTTTTTCTTCCCGCTGACTTTAAAAATAGTACATTCTAAATGCGACCTTTAATGGCCAAAACTTGGTAAGCGTTACATTGCAGTTAGTTCGTGCCAGGCCTTGCCAATGGTCCAGTTAGCGGCCTTTAGACATATTTCTTCCATGGAAGAAACGAGGATATACATATTGCCAATATATCACCCAGAAGAATAGCCATATTGTGATGTTACTTAGTGTGGTCTAAAATGGACTGTTCACAAATTAAACAGACCTTTCTGGAAATGAGATGGGAAGATGATAACACTGAGCTATGTAAGCCGTTACTGAATAATGCATGCTAGTGAAACTTAAGTTGTAGCATTTCAGGCTGAAACCAACTTTTGGGCCATAAAGAAATGGAAACCAAAGTAGGTTTTCAACGGGTGCGTGCCGACCAAACGTATTCACAGACTTTATTCTGTGCCGTCTCTGTCACAGCACCTTCAACATCCAGACCAACTGAGCTGGAAGGAAAGGTGAGCACTGTTTTAGGGTAGGAAGAGGTCAGGAAATCTGGAATTAAGGAAAGCATGGGATTGGATCAAGATGGCAGCCCGAGCACATAATGTCCTCCTTCCTGCCTGCCTTAAATGACAGGAAAACACACACACACACACACACACACACACACACGCATGCACGCACGTACACATGCACACACACACACGTACATATGGACACATGTACATGCACACACGCACACACATGCATTTTCATTTATAGTCATGAAAACAAGGGAAGAATCTCTGAAAAACAGAAGGCAGGTAGGATTATGACGTCCATGAAGAAAACACAGTCCAAAAGGATCACATCAAAGAACCACTGCAACACATGGGAACACTGCAAGCGTAGGTATTCAAAAGGACCCAGTAAATTGGAAAATAAAGATGTGCCAGGCAAAGCCTAATAAAAGGAATATAGTTTTAGCAATATAAATTTCAGACAAAATACAATCAAGGGCAAAAATTTTCAAAAAAAAACCAGAGGAATATTTCACATTGATGAAAGAAATCTGTCAAGAAGATAAAACACTCAAACACTCATGGGGCACCTGGGTGGCTCAGTTGGTTGAGCGTCCAACTTCAG